AGGTAGCAACAAGCTAGCTAAATTTCAAGCACAGTAGCCACTTACTACCTAACGTTAACGGTTCAGACAATGAGGTTAGAAAACAGCTGAATGGTAGGTATTATTGTATGTAATTATTAAAGGCAGCCAGCTGGCGTAATTACAGGCACTCTCAGGCGTGAAACAACTATACCGTTGCTAATAGTTGCCAGTAGCTACCCGCCAGCTAGTCCAGGTAGTGGGTTAGCTAGCTAGCTTCGTGCTTCACCGGGCTCAGCCGAATACAATACTAACCTACAATAATTACATACAACAACCCATGACATAAGTATTTGATCACCTACCAACCAGTAAGAATTCCGGCTCTCACAGACCTGTTAGTTTTTCTTTAAGAAGCCCTCCTGTTCTCCACTCATTACCTGTATTAACTGCACCTGTTTGAACTCGTTACCTGTATAAAAGACACCTGTCCACACACTCAATCAAACAGACTCCAACCTCTCCACAATGGCCAAGACCAGAGAGCTGTGTAAGGACATCAGGGATAAAATTGTAGACCTGCACAAGGCTGGGATGGGCTACAGGACAGTAGGCAAGCAGCTTGGTGAGAAGGCAACAACTGTTGGCGCAATTATTAGAAAATGGAAGAAGTTCAAGATGACGGTCAATCATCCTTGGTCTGGGGCTCCATGCAAGATCTCACCTCGTGGGGCATCAATGATCATGAGGAAGGTGAGGGATCAGCCCAGAACTACACGGCAGGACCTATTGAGGGGAGGATGGATGGGGGCCATGTGTCGCGAGATCTTGGCCAACAACCTCCTTCCCTCAGTAAGAGCATTGATGATGGGTCGTGGCTGGGTCTTCCAGCATGACAACGACCCGAAACACACAGCCAGGGCAACTAAGGAGTGGCTCCGTAAGAAGCATCTCAAGGTCCTGGAGTGGCCTAGCCAGTCTCCAGACCTGAACCCAATAGAAAATCTTTGGAGGGAACTGAAAGTCCATATTGCCCAGCGACAGCTCCGAAACCTGAAGGATCTGAAGAAGGTCTGTATGGAGGAGTGAGCCAAAATCCCTGCTGCAGTGTGTGCAAACCTGGTCAAGACCTACAGGAAACGTATGATCTCTGTAATTGCAAACAAAGGTTTCTGTACCAAATATTAAGTTCTGCTTTTCTGATGTATCAAATACTTATGTCATGCAATAAAATGCAAATTAATTACTTACAAATCATACAATGTGATTTTCTGGATTTTTGTTTTAGATTCCGTCTCTCACAGTTGAAGTGTACCTATGATAAAAATTACAGACCTCTACATGCTTTGTAAGTAGGAAAACCTGCAAAATTGGCAGTGTATCAAACACTTGTTCTCCCCACTGTACATATCCCAACCAGAAGCCACGGATTACAGGCACATCCGCACCAAGCTAAAGGCTAGCGCTGCCGCTTTCAAGGAGCGGGACACTAATCCGGACGCTTATAAGAAATCAAACAGGCAAAGCATCAATGCAGGACTAAGATTGAATCCTACTACACCGGCTCTGACACTTTTGAAAACTATTATGGACTGCAAAGGGAAACCCAGCAGCGAGCTGCCCAGTGATGCGAGCCTACCAGACGAGCTAAATGCCTTTTATACTCGCTTCAAGGCAAGCAACACTGAAGCATGCATGAGAGCACCAGCTGTTCCGGACGACTGTGTGATCACACTCTCCGATGTGAGCAAGACCTTTAAACAGGTCAACATTCACAAGGCCGCGGGGCCAGACGGATTACCAGGACGTATACTCAGAGCATGCGCGGACCAACTGGCAAGTGTCTTCACTGACATTTTCAACCTCTCCCCGACCGAGTCTGTAATACCTACATGTTTCAAGCAGACCCTGTGCTCAAGAAAGCGATGGTAACCTGCCTAAATTACCGCCCCGTAGCACTCACGTCGGTAGCCATGAAGTGCTTTGAAAGGCTGGTCATGGCTCACATCAACACCATCATCCCAGAAACCCTAGACCCACTCCAATTTGCATACCACCCCAACAGATCCACAGATGACGCAATCTCAATCGCACTCCACACTGCCCTTTCCCACCTGGACAAAAGGAACACCTATGTGAAAATGCTGTTCATTGACTACAGCTGGACAAAAGGTTCAACACCATAGTGCCCACAAAGCTCATTACTAAGCTAAGGACCCTGGGACTAAACACCTCCCTCTGTAACTGGTTTCTGGACTTCCTGACAGGCCATCCCCAGGTGGTAAGGGTAGGCAACAACACATCTGCCACGCTGATCCTCAACACGGAGGCCCCTCAGGGGTACGTGCTTAGTCCCCTCTTGTACTCCCAGTTCACCCACGACTGCTTGGCCAAGCACGACTCCAACACCATCATTAAGTTTGCTGACGACACAACGGTGGTAGGCCTGATCACCGACAATGATGACACAGCCTATAGGGAGGTCAGAGACCTGGCAGTGTGGTGCAGGACAACAACCTCTCCCTCAACGTGAGCAAGACAAAGGAGATGATCGTGGACCACAGGAAAAGGAGGGCTGAACACGCCCCCAGTCACATCGACGGGGCCGTAGTGGAGCAGGTCGAGAGTTTCAAGTTCCTTGGTGTCCACATCACCAACAAACTATCATGGTCCAAACACACCTAGAATGTTGTGAAGAGGGCACGACAACGCCTTTTCCCCCTCAGGGGACTGAAAAGATTTGGCATGGGTCCCCAGATCCTCAAAAAGTTCTACAACTGCGCCATCGAAAGCATCCTGACCGGTTGCATCACCGCCTGGTATGGCAACTGCTCGGCATCCGACTGTAAGGCGCTACAGAGGGTAGTGCGTACAGCCCAGTACATCACTGGGGCCAAGCTTCCTGCCATCCAAGACCTACAGTATATACTAGGCGGTGTCAGAGGAAGGCCCAAAAAGCCATCAAAGACTCCAGTCACCGAAGTCATAGACTATTGTCTCTGCTACCGCACAGCAAGTGGTACCGGAGCGCCAAGTCTAGGTCCAAAAGGCTCCTTAACAGCTTCTACCCCCAAGCCATAAGACTGCTGAACAATTAATCAAATGGCCACCCGGACTATTTGCACTGACCCCCTCATTTTATTCTTATTTATTATTGGTTTTTTACACTGCTGCTACTCACTGTTTATTATCTATGCAGTCACTTTACCCCTACCTACATGTACAAATTACCCCGACTAACCTGTACCCCCCCACATTGACTCGGTACCGGTACTGGGTTGCAGCTGGTCCTGGGGGTCCTGGAAACCCAGGTAGGTCCTCAGCTGGCGGGCTGCATAGAGAGACGCCCGGGAGAAGACCTCAGACTGGATGTCCCTCTGCCTCTGGATCTCCTCAGCAAACCTTATGAGTTTCCTAGGCCCATGTTGGCAGCAATCTTCAACCTATTCGACTGAAATCGAAAATCTCAAATTTAACCTAGAGCAAACTTTTTAGTCTAGAGCAAATTAAAGTGTTTCTCCCATTAGAGCCAACATATGAAAGACAAATCGAAAATACTAAAACCATTTACACAATTCACAAGACCCTTAGATGAGTTCAGTGTTGTTTTCCTTCTTCAATGAAACCTCTAGTCATTCCATCAGTTCTTCATTATTGAGTCGCAGTAGTATCCCTGGTTCAGCTCAACACCAATATATCATGCTGGAAGATCAAGGTCATTTCCATGCAAAACACATTGTTCAGACTACATCAAGAGCAGCCAGTTGTGAATGTGGCGGCTCAGTTATGGTTTCACATGCGCAGCATACTCTACTTCTGCCTTAACAGAAATGTGTTTATGTTAATCTGTTCATCATGCTGCAAATAGTGGCTTGTCAAACCTTTATTTAAAGTGCACACAATGGGTAGGCTACAGCGTACACAGTTGTTCCATTTGGGCAACTATCAACTACCCAATGGTCTGTGACTGTCAAGTATCCCTTTATTTGCTTGGTGTTGACAAAAACAAGGGTCTGTATGAACATGGAGGCTTTTAAATGGTATTGAATCTGCACTGCAGAGCAAAAATGACCTATACGCTTTATGTTCTACATTTCCAAGTCTCCTACTTGAGCAATTGAAAGACATCAGACTCTGTTTAAATTACTTTATTAACCTTAGAAATGGGTGGCATCTCAACCAGTACACAGTATAAACTTTCTTCTCATGTGGTTAGGGCATTGCATAACAGTAGGATTGCTTTTGAGACATTCTTGCATTGCTTCATCTCTCTCAACGTGCTACAACGTAGCCCTTTCTGCTCGCTTGCCAACAATATGTTTGGCATGACAATTCCATAAGGAGTTAGCAAGAGAGCAGAAATAGACTGGAACCCAGGCTAGCTACGGTACTCTGAAAATAACTATGCTATTTGGCAATATTTAAGATTAGTTATCTCAGTACAAATGATGATAAACAAAAAGTATGTCTTCCATTAGCAGGTGTACAACATTTTGGCAACAAGAAAGGCTTCAATAACATGCAATGATGACACATAAACAGGAATCATATGCATTGAACTGTGTATTGTGCTAAATACATACAGTACGGTATCGGTGCAAATGCAAGAAAAACAATTACTACAAATGTCTCCAGTATCCAAGTGGTAGGCAAACTATGGTGAGTATTGCTCTGAAATAATTCCTCTCCCAAAAGGTCAGTTAAAATGGATTGGCACCTTACAAAAACAACAGTGGAGTGTATCAGTTCACATGACATCAGACATGGTCTTGAATTTCTTTAAGAAAGTATTTTTTTATGCCTCATCTAAAAATACTAAAAGGAGATCTGGTGCTTGCTCTGCGAGGGTTGTTGGGGGTACGGTGGAGTCTGGACTGTGTGCTAGTGGAGGACCCGGGTTCAAATACTTGAACTCTTTGAAATACGTTGAGCGTTTGCTTTAGCCTGCCTGGAGTGCTAGGTAGGCAGAGTTTGCAATCTTGGGACTTTTCTATTCCCATTGCATTCCAACAGGCAAGCTCAAACGAGCACAGCTGAAGTATTAAAATATTTCAAATAGTATTTGAATCCTGGTCTGCTAGTGGAGACTTTGGTTCACAACGGCACTAGGGCACAGGGTCCCATGGCGACGGTCTGCGTCACACGTTGGAATCGTCATCTGTTATGCTGGGGTTGGGTGAGTTGGAGATCTCTTTGAAAAATTCATCGTCTTTCAGCATGCTCTGGAAACACAGGGACACAATGCATGAACTAAGAAATTAATACTGGAGAAGAAATGTAAGGACCCATTTGAAATATGCCTATATTTATGTCATAAATGTATATTTATGTCACAAATGCCTTATATATTTATACAGTGCCTTCAGAAAGTATTCATACCCCTAGACTTATTCCACAATTCAAAATTGATTAACTAAATTTTTCTCTCTCACCCATCTACACACAATACGCCATAATAACAATTATTTTGCTTATTTTTAATGTTTGCAAATTTATTGAAAATGAAATATGCCTCGTCACAATTCTATCTAGGAGATCTACGGACAGTTCCTTGGACTTCATGGTATAGTTTCTGCTCTGACAACGGTGGGACCTTATCTAGACAGGTGTGTTTCTTTCTAAATCATGTCCAAACAATTGAATTGGCCACAGGTGGACTCCAATCAAGTCGTAGTGACATCTCAAGGATGATCAAAAGTCATTGGATGCACCTGAGCTAAAATTGGAGGGTCATAGCATAAGGGTGTGAATACCTATGTAAATGAGATATTTCTGTATTTCATTTTTAATACATTTGCAAAAATGTCTAAAAACATGTTTACACTGTCATTATGGGGTATTGTGTGTAGATGGATGAGAAAACATATTTAATCCATTTTCAATTCAGGCTGTAACAACAACATTTGGAATAAATCAAGGGGTATGAATACTTCTTAAAAGCACTGTAGAGCTTATACCCTTAAATATTGTTATCCATAAACCATATCAACATAACACTTAAGCACATTTAAAACAGAAAAAAAGAAAAGATTCCTTCTTACCGTCAAGTTTTGGATGCCCTCGGAGAAGGCTCCGATCTGCCTCACAGTCCCCTCTGAGTCCTCCATCTACAATAACGGATATGGTTTGACACTCAACACCATTACTAAGAAGATCTGTCAGTGTTCAGCTGCTCTGAGCGAATACAGAAACTAGGCACAGTGCTGCCATCTCTTGTCACGGCAGTGAACGACCAAAAAGGTCAGCCTGGAATCATTGAGTAGAGAACAATCTAAAAGGTGGAGGTTGAATCTAAGTATTGATGTGATGACTTACCAATTACTTGGAGAACTTATTAAGTGTGTATGAGCACCATGCAGCCTTTACAGAGAAATGTCTTGCCAAAATGCTTGGTCTGACAATGACCATAGGAGTTGGCAAGACAGCACAAACAGACCTAGGACCAGACTAAAGTTTACCTGCTCTAGCCGGTCCAGGTCGTCCTCGTAGAGCTGAAGCTCATAGCCTTTCTGGAAGCTACGTCCCTTTGGCATCTCCACGTCCATGGGGCAGACATACTCCTCACTGTCATCCTGCCTCTTCTTCCTCAGGCTGCCGAAGCTACCGAACGACATCTTCCTCGGCTGGTGTGAACAGATTATTTCTCAAATTATAATAAATTGAGACTACAGCTCATAACCAAAACCAGTGTCAAACAGATTAGAACAATTTCTTACCCCACCCAAACACACATCTTCCCCTTCTCCATCACTCCTTACCCCTACCTAAAACCATGGTTACGTCCAAAATGGCGCCCTATTCCCTATATTGTGCATTACTTTTGACCCCTACCTTGACCTTGGCGGTGGCGGTGAGCAGGGTGTAGTCGGGATTCTCTAGACACTCCTGTTTGAGCCCCTGGGCCTCAGAGCCCACTAGCAGGTTGAAGTGGGTAGCCAGGTGCCTCCGCAGCAGGGTCTTGTTGGGGGGAATGTTCAGCAGCAGGGCCATGGTCTCCACATTGAACCGAGGCTCCAGCACCTGGGGTAAGAGGGAACATTGTGAGATGTGAGCTAGGTTGAGTCACATCCCATTCTCATTGTAAGATAAAAACCCATTGTCATTTCTATGTAGTCATTTAGTAATTTTTCACCCAAAAAAAAAGTTGTTCTTCTTTTACCAAGACAACTGTGGGCCACATTAAACTGGATCAAAGGCTCTCTGATCATTCTTTCTCACCATGAGTCCCCCGTGAACGCCGCTGCCCCTCAGGTTGGGGGCGTACTCCGCCAGGTCCACTGATCTCAGCCACTCCATCACTCTGTGATTGGTCCACTGGGAGATCTCTGCTGGCGTGATGTTGTTCTGACCAATCAGGAGACAGAGAGAGAAAATAATGTGTTTATCAACAGAACAAATGACTGAGCGCCAGAATTTGTTAACACTTGTTTAGCTTGAAGAAGTGGAGAAGGAGTACACAGCAAAAAGTGGATTGTCCAGTAGCACTGACTAGTGTTAATGTATTCCTGGAACCAGGGTAGTCTTCATCAGGGCACACACCGGAAAACTATTTAAAACATTTGCAACGGAAAGCAAAAATGTGCCCAGGTAGTCCCTCCCTGTTTCAGTCCGTTTTCTTCTATTTGGTGCCTAATGAAAAAGACCAGTGGTCCAGTGGACCTACCTCGTCGGAGGGCCGTCGGCGCAGGCAGTTGGGCTCGTAGTTGTTGAGGCGCAGCACCTGAATGGCTCTCTTGATGCTGAGGTGGTGGAGCACACTGCCCACCTTCAGAGACAGCAAGTCATCCTGACAGAGGACACAGGAACAATAATTTTTACAACAGTGTCAGGTCAGATGGAAATAGTCAGCAGGAGGACTCCTACATTGAGTTAGTGAGGATTTTACCATTGCGCAAAGAAAAAACAACAATTTCCCAGCAGGTAAGGTCCGGCAATCTGACGAGATTCTATTTGATTGTACTAATAGTAGTGTGGTATATGTCTAGTATTTGTTTTTGCCGTCTTGTATCAAGCCATTGTGTAGTCATTGCGTCCATGGAGGGTGAGACTAGGCCTTCTCCAGTGTTCCTAATCACACTTTGTAGTCCATGCTGTACAGTCTGTTCAGCCTAATGTGAACTGGCAGTGTGATCATTAGGCCTAGAGCCATACAGTATCTGAATCTGATCAGGCCCATCCATGCTTGGCCTGAGGACAGGACTCTTATGCGTCTGTCTATCTCTTCGACACTCACTACTGTCATGTAGTGCAGCATGCGGCCGTCCACCCTCCCCTCATCAAACTGGGTCTTATATTGAGGCAGGCCAATGTCATCCAGCCACCCTATGGGAGGAGACAAGAGAGGGGGAGAGAGAGAGAGAGAGGGGGGAAGGGGGGTGAGAGGGGATCTGTCAACCTGCCAGTCAATTTCCCTATTAGAAATCAAATTATCAAACTTACATCTTGAGAGCACTTGAATCAAATTCAGAACTTGTTTATTGGATTACAATTAATTTGAAACGCCCACCATATCATTTCGACAACATGAGATGTTAAGCATAGTAAAACCCCAGCATTAAACCTTGACTCCCCTACTGGCAGTTAATCTACTCACTGGTCACCCAATTGTAGTCCAGTTTGCCCTTGTTGTCGTCCTCCTCAGAGCCCAGGGCCTGCAGGGCCAGCTGGAGCTTCTTCCTGTGCAGTGGGTGTTTGATGCCCAGCTCCTAAACACACAGAGATAACAACCACCCAGAGCCACACCCCCAGGACAGAACAGATGATTAGTTCCATCCATTTGATTTCTCCGGTCATAGAGTACAGTATATTTGGCCACAGAGTATAAAGAGAGGCAGTGCCTAGGTTAACAAAGTGCTGAATGAATTATATTTTCATTTACGTGTAAAGTCACCCTTAGTGACCCATCCCTTACAGGATTATTTGACACATATTTAAGGTCCTTAACGTACAGTACAATTAATACATAGCCTGTGGCGTCATCAATAGTTGTTTTACACCTGGGTTGCGTCAACCACAAACCTAATGGGGCGAATTGCCTCATAGGGGATAAATACAAATGACATCTGGCTGTACTGCGGAGTCCAGGTGTTTTTAATTCATACAGGTTAGTCTCATTGAAATACAATCTCTCCTGCTCAGTGCTCACCCTCTCTAGGTCCTGCTGTGAGGCCTGCAGCAGAGTCTGTCCAGAAGAGATCCACACGCGGGCCATGTTCAGACAGAGCCCCAGCCCCTGCTCCTGCAGCCAGTCACACACCTGCTCCTTGGACCAGCGGGCAAACGGGGTGTCCAGGTCACTACAAGCGAAAGAATGAGGACATGCTGACTTAACGTGGGTCAACCATTCATAAAGGAACACAGTATTGCCTTCTAACAATGACCATGAAGTTGTTTTGCTGGGAAGCATTTCAGAATGACTTGACCATGGTAGGGCGCAAAACCGGACTAGTTTAGATTGAACTTCCTTGTCATCACAAGTAGCCTGGTCCCAGATCTGGTTGTGCTCTCTCTGCCTGTAGGAGTTGGCAAGAGAGCACCAACAAATCTGGGACCAGAATACATGTCCGGATAAGGGTAGTGTAAGAGAGTCATTTCTAGCATTGTTTTTCTCTGTGTATTTCAGCACACAGAAAGCTAAAGGACGCACATGATGTTTCTCATTGCTCAAGGGGAGTGCACGGAGCACACTAACTTGTTGTTTCTCATTAATTCAAGGTGAGTTCACAGTGCACACTAACTTGTTGGGTAATCTCTGTAGGTCACGGGACCAGCCCAGTCTGGGCCCTGCTGTGGCTCGGACTCCACCTCTCTTGAACTCGACCGGTTCTGATAGGTTGTCGTCCAGGTTGAACGTGGTGGACTGACTTCTCCTCAGCCTTAAAGAAAATTAAAAAAAATACATCAATTAAATTCAAGTCGTGTCATGTTTGAAAGTTGTGCACTTATGACTCCAAGCTAAATATACCATGGTTGTGGTTACCATAGCTGAAAGCTATTTATTTTTATTTTTATAAAAGAATACACAAAACATGTTTCTCTTCCTTATATTGCAAGCTTAGTTTATCAGGCTCTTTGATTAGTCAGACTTAATTCAGAGTTTTAAATCAGATCAATATTAACCAGGGTTGTGTTCATTAGGGCAAACCGTAGCAAAATGTTTTGCAACAGAAAACAAAAAATAAGCATTTTGTACTGGACAAGTTCAAGTACTCCCTCCCTGTTTGTCAGTTTCCTTCTGTTTTGATGCCTAATGAATATGACCCAGGCATCCCAAACTCAATCTTGATGTCTTACAGGACAGTGTCATCAAGAGTTCTATACCAAACATCTTTAACACTCACTTTCCAAAGAGCGCCTTAATTCCCTTGGACTTCTTCTTGCACTCGGGGGAGGTAGTGGAGGTCACACTGGTCAGTGTGTTGGTGCTGTCGCTGTTGGCTGACCTCTGGGGTAGACCAGCCAGGTCCAGATGGTCAGTGCCCCCCTCTCGCTCAATCTCAGCTGTACAAACAGGACATCAGCAATGACCACAGGGCATCAGCACTGCCATGCCACCATGGTGACAGCTGTGGGGTGCGTCCAAAATGTCACCCCTTTGGCTCTGGTCAAAAGTAGTGCACTATAATCAGGTGTAGGATCTTAAATTATCTCCCTGTCATTGTAGGAAATGTTCTGCACAGCAGGAAATGCAGACTTGTAGTGTTTTCAAGGTTTAAATAGGCTTCTAAAGTTTGTAATTTGCACTTTAAAAAAGGTCAGACTTGATTTGCCCCAACTAAAAATGTATCAACCCCTACAAAAATGGCCATTAATTATAATCCAAACAATTCACATTTACTGTTGCTGCAGGATTACTTTGCTGCTGTGAAAAACTGGTCAAATATTCTACACCTGTAGGGAATAGGATGCCATTTCAGATGCAGCCATGCACAGATATCTGCATCTCAGGGCCAGAGGCTGTGGCCCAGACACACCCTATGGCCAGCCACACCACAACTCCCAGACAGAGAGATCATGGGGATGGTATCAACACTAATACCCAGACAATCTGGTCTGTTAATGTCTGCATGCAATGGAGTGGAGACTCCTGAAGCACTAAAGAGTGCTTTTATTTTAGTTGTAGTCAAAGACTAGTTATGCACTGGTGTATAGACAAAACAGGACTGAAATGCATACAATTCACATTTCAATATTATAAATATTATACCTGAAGAGATATAGGAACCATCCTAAAACTTGAACAGAGTGTAATTCATCCACACACATTCCTAAATGAGACTCACTAAGCCTCTGGTTACAGCATGCATGACCGCCTCACTGAGCTCAACTTGTACATGGGAGGGTGAGGTGGTCTAAGTTTGGAAACCACAACATAATCAGGATCTAACTGTGTTTAGTGGGTTTACAAAAAAGGTTATTTGAACATTTGGAGTTGAATTTAGCTTTCAGGAATAGTGAACAGCGGATCAACTGATATGAGCCAAAACATCAGGTAGAACATAACATTCTAGGAAATAAATTAACTTCATGAAGACTATCCGGGGAGCATCATTGCAGATGACATCATCTGGTTATAAGACCGGGATATGGTTTGGTGCGAGGGGAGTTTGAACAGAAATAGAAATGAGAATGTACATGCAGTTTGCCGACACACAGAACAAACATACAAAAAAGGCTCTGACCTTTGATGTTATCCAGCCATGTTGCTCCAACAAAGCGGTTTGCCTAGGAATAATTGCTGGTAACATGGGTGTGGTTGTATGTGAGGATGTCTACTGTAGCTACTGTAGAATGATATACCAAAATAGCAGCAACGATAATGCCTTGCCATGGTCTAATGGTTGCCTGAGAGTAAGTAACCTCTATTCAAATGTCTAATGTTTAGAGTGGAAATTCAAACCTTCTATGCGTGAAGCATGCTTCATTAAGTCTTGAAATAACGAGGTCACCACCAAGACTTGGAATAAGACTTGGGTTAATCATGATTTCTGAAATGTAATATAAACTCAGCAAAAAAATAAACGTCCTCTCACTGTCAACTGCGTTTATTTTCAGCAAACTTAACATGTGTAAATATTTGTATGAACATAACAAGATTCAACAACTGAGACATAAACTGAACAAGTTCCACAGACATGTAACTAACAGAAATTGAATAATGTGTCCCTGAACAAAGGGGGGGTCAAAATCAAAAGTAACAGTCAGTATCTGGTGTGGCCACCAGCTGCATTAAGTACTGCAGTGCATCTCCTCCTCATGGACTGCACCAGATTTGCCAGTTCTGTGCTGTGAGATGTTACCCCACTTTTCCACCAAGTTCCCTGACATTTCTGGGGGGAATGGCCCTAGCCCTCACCCTCCGATCCAACAGGTCCCAGACGTGCTCAAAGGGATTGAGATCCGGGCTCATCAATGGCCATGGCAGAACACTGACATTCCTGTCTTGCAGGAAATCACGCACAGAACGAGCAGTATGGCTGGTGGCATTGTCATGCTGGGGGGTCATGTCAGGATGAGCCTGCAGGAAGGGTACCACATGAGGGAGGAGGATGTCTCCCTGTAACGCACAGCGTTGAGATTGCCTGCAATGACAACAAGCTCAGTCCGATGATGCTGTGACACACCGCCCCAGACCATGACGGACCTTCCACCTCCAAATCGATCCCACTCAGTGTACAGGCCTCGGTGTAACACTCATTCTTTCGACGATAAACGCGAATCCGACCATCACCCCTGGTGAGACAAAACCGCGACTCGTCAGTGAAGAGCACTTTTTGGCAGTCCTGTCTGCGACGGTGGGTTTGTGCCCATAGGCGACGTTGTTGCCGGTGATGTCTGGTGAGGACCTGCCTTACAACAGGCCTACAAGCCCTCAGTCCAGCCTCTCTCAGCCTATTGTGGACAGTCTCCACTGATGGAGGGATTGTGCGTTCCTGGTGTAACTCGGGCAGTTGTTGTTGCCATCCTGTACCTGTCCTGCAGGTGTGATGTTCAGATGTACCGATCCTGTGCAGGTGTTGTTACACGTGGTCTGCCACTGCGAGGACGATCAGCCGTCCTGTCTCCCTGTAGCGCTGTCTTAGGCGTCTCACAGTACGGACATTGCAATTTATTGCCCTGGCCACATCTGCAGTCCTCATGCCTCCTTGCAGCATGCCTAAGGCACATTCACGCAGATGAACAGGGACCCTGGGCATCTTTCTTTTGGTGTTTTTCAGAGTCAGTAGAAAGGCCTCTTTAGTGTCCTAAGTTTTCATAACTGTGACCTAAATTGCCTACCGTCTGTAAGCTGTTAGTGTCTTAACGTCTGTTCCACAGGTGCATGTTCATTAATTAATTATGGTTCATTGAACAAGCATGGGAAACAGTGTTTAAACCCTTTACAATGAAGATCTGTGAAGTTATTTGGATTTTCACAAATTATCTTTGAAAAAAAAAAGGGACGTTTCTTTTTTTTGCTGAGTTTATATAAGAACATATATTCCTACCCTTACATCTCTATCAACACGAGCATGCCTATGGAATATGTATAAGTCACCTTCAACTCATATTCCATATAGAGTGGGCACCCAAGTAAGTAAAAAAAATTACAATTTATTTCTACGTTTTGGGAGAATCATGATTTATGAAATTGAATTACAAAGGACAGTTCAGCTCACATAACACGTTTGTGAGTTAGGTGAAAGTAGAAATTCAACAGTTGGTCGAGGTTGAGGAGTTGGTTGAGAGGATTTGGGAAGGAAGGGGATGGGGGGAATGTTATGAGTTCAAGGGTCATATCCAGTAGTGGTCATTACTCCAGAGGCGCCATACTGCTGCCCTGCCTTGCCCTGAGGACATGATGGCTCCATTATACTGTACCTAGCATAGGCGCACTCGCACTCCGGCTGCGGTCTTCACAATGTGTTACACAAAGCACACACCCGACACACATGACACGAGAGGAACAAGACAGAGGTCAAAGGTTACCGAAGGGAAAAAACTACAGGGGAGAGTCACAGTATGATGGTAGGAGGAGGAGACAGATAAGATACATACATAACACAACTACAAAGCACACACAGTAGGCTACATTTTCATAATTAGACAGGGAGAACAGTTTCTGGGACTAGTCATTATGGTGTTGGTATGTATTTTAACTATGGGTGTGGTTTTAAGAGCTACATTGAAAAACCAAGCTCTTTGGTAAGAACCACTCAGACTTCAGAATAAAACTAAAGGCTGTGCAGTGCCGTGGTGTAATGGTAACACTCCCCGGCACGTCACATACGACAACCTTTCCACCGTTTCTCCCACTTGCATGTCTACCCCTCTAATTTCCTTACTGTCTGAATTAAGTATCAGACACCTAAAATATATATACAAAAGTATGTGGACGCCCCTTCAAATTAGTGGATTCGGCTATTTCAGCCACACCCATTGCTGACAGGTGTATAAAATCGAGCACACAGACATGCAATCTTCATAGACAAACATTGGCAGTAGAATGGCTTTAATGAAGAGCTCAGTGACTTTCTACGTGGCACCGTCATAGGATGCCACCTTTCCAACAAGTCAGTTCATCAAATTTCTGCCATGCTAGAGCTGTCCCAGTCAACTGGAAGTGCTGTTATTGTGAAGAAGAAATGTCTAGGAGCAACAACGGCTAAGCCGCTAAGTGGTAGGCCACACAAGCTCACAGAACGGGACCGGCGAGTGCTGAAGCGCGAAGCGTATAAAAATTGTCTGTCCTCGGTTGCAACACTCACTACCGAGATCCAAACTGTCTCTGGTAGCAATGTCAGCACAAGAACTGTTGTCGGGAGCTTCGTGAAATGGGTTTCCATGGCCGAGCAGCCGCACACAAACCTAAGACCACCATGCGCAATGCCAAGCGACGGCTGGAGTGGTGTAACGCTCGCCGCCATTGGACAGTGGAAACATGTTCTCTGGGGTGATGAATCATGCTTCACCATCTGGCAGTCCGACGGATGAATATGGGTTTGGCGGATGCCAGGAGAACGCTACCTTCCCTAATGCATTGTGCCAACTGTAAAGTTTGGTGGAGGAGGAATAATGGTCTGGGGCTGTTTTACATGGTTCGGGCTAGGACCTTTAGTTCCAGTGAAGGCAAATCTTAATGCTACAGCATACAATGACATTCTAGACGATTCTGTGCTTCCAACTTTGTGGCAACAGTTTGGGGAAGGCCCTTTCCTGTTTCAGCATGACAATGCCTCTGTGCACAAAGCGAGGTCCATACAGAAATGGTTTGTTGAGATCGGTGTGGAAGAACTTGACTGGCCTGCACAGAGCCCTGACCTCAACTCCATCGAACGCCGACTGAATTGGAACGCCGACTGCGAGCCAGGCCTAATCGCCCAACAAAAGTGCCCGACCTCACTAATGCTCTTGTGGCTGAATGGAAGCAAGTCCCCGCAGCAATGTTCCAACATCTAGTGGAAAGCCTTCCCAGACGAGTGGAGGCTGTTATAGCAGCAAAGGGGGGACCAACTCCATATTAATGCCCATGTTTTGGAATGAGATGTTCGACGAACAGGTGTCCACATACAGTTGGTCATGTAGTCTTTTTTTTAAGATCTAAAAAAAGGCTACAATCTCACAAATCTAATCATACCTAACATGAATTGGTCAAAATGCACAAGATACCACATCATACAAGTTATAAAGCATCTCAGAGTAGGAGTGCTAATCTGGGATCAGTTTGGCCTTTTAGATCATAATGAATAAGATTATATGGACAGGGAGGACCTGGTCCTAGATCAGCACTCCTACTCTGATACGCTTTGTGAATATGGGCTCTGTTACCACAAAGCTTCCATCTGAGACCCACAGCCCATCCACCCACACTAGGCCATCCATCCACCCGCACTTACCCAGGTTAGGGGTGCTGGCTGTCCTTTTGCTTCCCTTGATCTTGAAGAAGCCCCGTCCGAAGGAGGAGCGAGCCTTCTTGTTACCAAAGTGGTCATCCTCCGTGGTCATGGGGTGAGACGAAGAGGGAGACTTGGGCGGGCGCTCGCTGATCTTACTGATCTCCTCCACAGCCTTATTCGGAACAGTAGCAGAAAACAGAGCTGACAACGTCAATTTGACATTTTAGTCATTTGCAGACGCTCTATCCAGAGCAACATACAATCAGTGCATTCAACTAAGGTAGGTAAAAACAACCACATATTACAATCAATCAAGTCAAAGCATTGTTCAAAACAGCTGCTATCTGCTAAATCAGTGCACACAATGCCAGAACCATGTCACATCACACACATGCAGTAATATATCAAACGATCTATGGGAAATTGGATTTGAAAATACCAGACAGTGCAGAGCTGGCTTAAAGTGCAAAGAATTCATACATTTCAATTGAATGTGATAAAAGGCAATCAAACGCATGCAATGAAACCAAGGTGACACACACACATAGGGATTTGTTCATTTTTAACTGTACTCAGATACATTTTTTTGAGTACTCAAATAAATAAATAAATAAATACATATTTTTAGAACACAAGGCCTACAATGGATTTATTTAATCTCGCATTTATCTATATGCCAACAGATCGCAACAATGCCTAATTTATCATAACCATTATAGATAACAAATCCTAAATCAGTCAATAAAAAAGCAAGTGTCATTTAAGATTAATTTATTGAAACTGTAATATCAACTGGTTATATTATACTGTGGAACACAATCTTCCAAAAGGCAGTAACCTCAGTAGTGGCGATTGCTCGTAGAAGCCTATGGCTGTGCAATGGCATAGCCTTGTTTTGTTAATTTAGCAGACAAGACGCTCTTATTTCCAGTCAAGACACCTATTTTATGTTTGGTGAGTAGGCATATGCTTAATGGTTCTGATGAAAATACACTGTCTTTATCAAACTAATGTTTTTGCATATTTTCAGTGTGGAACCTGTCCATGTTTAGGTGGGTTATAACCTAGACCAGGGGTATTTAACTCTTACCCTACGAGGTCCGGAGCCTGCTGGTTTTCTGTTCTACCTGATAATTAATTGCAAGCACCTGGTGTCTCAGGTCTAAATCAGTCCCTGATTAGAGGGGAACAATACAAAAATGCAGTGAAACTGGCTTCGAGGTCCAGAGTTGAGTTTGAGGGGCCTAGGCTAACCAATTCTAAATGGCACTAGCAGTTCGCAAAGTAGCTTAAGCGGAAAATAGACGGGACGCAATTATTTCAAAACTGCAGCTCGTTTTGGAACATATATTTTCCTACTTCAATCAACCAGTCCACTATGAATGTGTGATAAAACAGTCGTCATTTGGCAAATTAGATACGTTTTTATAGGCATTTACACTGAGTGTCCAAAACATTAGGAACACCTGCTCTTTCCATGACATAGACTGACCAGGTGAAAGCTATGATTCCTTATTGAGGTCACATGTTAAATCCACTTCAAAATCAGTGTATATCAAGGGGAGGAGACAGGTTAAAGAAGGATTTCTAAGCCTTGAGACAATTGAGACATGGATTGTGTATGTGTGCCATTCAGAGGGAGAATGGGCAAGAGAAAAGATTGAAGTGCCTTTGAACAGGGAATGGCAGTAGGTGCCAGGCGCACTGGTTTGATTGTATCAACAACTGCAACGTTGCTGTGTTTTTCACGCTCAACATTTTCCCATGTGTATCAAGAAGGACATCCAGGCAACTTGACACAACTGTGGGAAGCATTGGAGTCAACATGGGCCGGCATCCCTGTGGAATGCTTTCAACCCCTTGTAGAGTTCATGCCCCGATGAACTGAGGCTGTTCTGAGGGCAAAAGGGGGTGCAACTCAATATTATGTTTTGTACACTCAGTGTATTTCTGTAGGTCTAACAGGGGCTTGTGTGTGCAGTCAGCACACGGGTGTGGAGGGAGAGGTCGGAACGGAGGGGAAAGGGAATTTAGGTAAAAGAATGGTGTGATGCTTGGCTTGGTTTATTTTTTGTTGTGCCCCGCAAATGCACATGTACAAAATGGAACACTAGGGTCAAAGCAAATTAACATGGTCTTCAAGACAACATTTTACTTGCAACAAAGCACATTCCACCAAATAGTTTTACAGTATTTGAAAAGAATGTGATCTCTGGTTAAAGATCGAGCTTTGCCATCCGTTCCAGTACTCAAGTACTCATGTCCATCCCTACACAATCATAAACATTAGCCTTACTGAGGACGCTAACCTTCAGAAGGAGGAATAGGTTGTCAGCCTTCTAATAAGATGGAAGAGGCCAAAGAGGAAGAGAGGATGAGCAAACAAGAAAGAAGACCGCTGAGAACAGACTCACCTCTGTTGGCTTTTCATCCATCACCAATGTAATCTGGCACAGATGATGATATGATGGGATGGAGTGTTAGTGATGAAATTCAATGAGGACTTTAGAATTTATCAGAAATCTCTTTACCTTTTCGCTGTTGCTGACATACAAGTTGTCCTGACTCCCTGAATTGGGGCCATCCAGGGTCCTGAAATGACAAAGCTCATCACATTGAACACTACAACACCTGGTCAATGTACTGAACCGCTGACCTTTGGGAGGAAGGAATTCTGACAGGAAGCTGAAGCGTAAAGCGACAGGATATGACATGCAGCTTCACACCATAGACATACTCACTGTGGAGTATCACATGAAAGGGGGGCCTCCTGTGACACTTCCTGGCCCCCTGCCTCGCTGCAGGGGATAAACAGACAGGTGTTGGGATGCTAACCCGACGCTAACATGGACAAGCTGCGAGCAGTCCGCTGCACGCTATACTGTACACTGGCTGTGGTCAAACCTGGGAGTGGAGGCTATAAATATTTGTCAGCACCCTTGTGGGACACCTTGGACCTTGTGGTGTCGACATGTCATCAATTATGCCACATTTACCACGCTACGGGTGAGATTAGGCGTGATAGCTCGCCTAGATATTGACTTTTTCCAAGGCCGGTCTCAATTCAGGAAGTAGGTCCACACACCATTCAAAACATCTCTCTTTCCTAGTCAGCTCACTCTGCTCAGGGGCAAACTAAGTAACATACTTTGTTCATCAACAGAGGTGTTTTCATTAGTGCACACCGTAGCAAAAAATCTTGCAACGGACAAGGTTACTAAAATGAGAGTTGGAGAAATTCAGGTAGGTCCCTTCTCGTTTGGTTCCTAGTGACAACACCCCAGCACTGGACAGTTATGGACCATCTCTAGTTCAGCTCACCTCTCTGGTTCAGCTTGGTCCAGCTCTGGCCCCCTCTTTGGATCGCATGCTGACTGGACTGTAGGGCTGGGTGTGGGCGAAGACACTTCAGTAGCTCCATAGTGCATCTCCAGCTTCGCATTGAAGCAGAGGACCAAATTGAAAGAACATTTAGTAAAGTACAACCGCCATCAATGCTAGCGATTACTTTTCTCTCTCGGGTCAGTGTTTTCACGATTTAGTAGATTAAGGGTAACGAGCAGTCAAGACAATGGTGCTTGTCATCATTCAAACAGACAACCATCCAAAGTGTCACTGCAAAGTGATATTGAATGTTATCAGACTAATTTGACCAAGTGACAGTGACTCAACACCTCGTTCAAAAATGTGTAATTATTGGCTGTTTTATTGGTTGGAGGACATCTGAAGGCTTTTTGATAAGGATTTCTGAGGATGACACATTAATTCATAGAAATATAATCTGTTCCGTGATCTGAGAGCCTTGACCCGTCCTAGTCAATATATTTCTATGCATGAAGCTAAGTAGTTATGTCATCATGTCATCCTGTACCTCGTCTGGGCTTTTCCCTGCTACTTCCTCAACTCCGGCTAGAGCGTGCCTCTCCGACTCCATGGCAACCGGGGTGGTTGTCGTTGACATCACGGAGAGGGAGCTGTCGCTATTACTCTCGTCACTCTCGCCGTCTTGGGTTTTCTCTGGAATGGAATATGAAAGAGTTATTTTTATCAGTCAGATATTTATGTAGCCTAGAGAGTTGGCCATTCTATTGGAGCCCACTGCCAGCAATTTTAGGCTTTGACGTTCAATTCTTAAAATATTTACCTCAAGAACACTTCGATCTGCTCTTACAAATCAAGAGTGTTTCTCTCCTAGAGATAGAACATGGTGATAGCACATTGTTTTAGAAATAGAACATGGTTTCTCAAACCTTTTTTTCCTTGCATTGAAATCATGTCCTGGACCTTCTTGTAGCGCAGCAGCGACTGCCTCAGCTCCTCGATCTTACGATCCTACAGGTGCAGAGAGGTCACAAAGATCGACGGTCAAGCCATGTGACAAGGTTCAGATAATTTTTTCCCCCTTATTGTTTTGGGCACAGAAAGGTTCGGAAAGGTTGTAACCTCTTCTTTGTCCTGTCACATTAAACTTGACAAAACAAACTCTCTGAGAATCATGAGATGGAGGGCGGTGGGGGTCAACTGTAGTTTACTGTACCTTCTCCTCATTGGCTGCCATGAGTGATTCCACTGCTTTTTTCATTCTCTGCACTTCCACATCTGGAGGGTAAAGAAATGGATTTCAGCCAGAGAATATACAGCTGGGTCAACTCTGGGCCAATGTATGTCTGGGGTCCCCTGACTAACTCATCCATAGTGATCTATGGTACAACAGTACATCTATTTAGAGCGTTGTCAATACATATTATTATCCAACAGTACTATCTAAACAGTCAGGGAGACCTCCATTTTGACTCCCTGTCCAGGTAGTCTAACTATTTCCTAGCCTCACAGTGAAATAAACACCACATCTAACACAGTTGAGGGAACCTTGAGGTGGAGGATTTGGACTTGGTGGGTAAAGCCATGTCAATGTGCTGTTCTATAGCTGTCACAATAAAGACATGATGAGGATGACAAGGGTGATGGACTGATGATGAAGGTTAGAAGACAGCACACTGGGTGTTGATGGAGGGCAAGTGGTGAGAGGAGAGGGGGATAAGGAAAGGGTGAGGAGGAGAGATCTGTGGTAAAAGGAGGTGTTGGTTGAAGGAGAAAGCAGGAGGATGGGACACAGACTGAACAGTGAGCGAGCGGGCATCCATAACATGACAGACTGAACAGTGAGCGAGCGGGCATCCATAACATGACATAGACTGAACAGTGAGCGAGCGGGCATCCATAACATGACACAGACTGAACAGTGAGCGAGCGGGCATCCATAACATGACACAGACTGAACAGTGAGCGAGCAGGCATCCATAACATGACACAGACTGAACAGTGAGCGAGGGGGCATCCATAACATGACACAGACTGAACAGTGAGCGAGCGGGCATCCATAACATGACACAGACTGAACAGTGAGCGAGCGGGCATCCATAACATGACACAGACTGAACAGTGAGCGAGCGGGCATCCATAACATGACACAGACTGAACAGTGAGCGAGCAGGCATCCATAACATGACACAGACTGAACAGTGAGCGAGCGGGCATCCATAACATGACACAGACTGAACAGTGAGCGAGCGGGCATCCATAACATGACACAGACTGAACAGTGAGCGAGCGGGCATCCATAACATGACACAGACTGAACAGTGAGCGAGCAGGCATCCATAACATGACACAGACTGAACAGTGAGCGAGCGGGCATCCATAACATGACACAGACTGAACAGTGAGTGAGCGGGCATCCATAACATGACACAGACTGAACAGTGAGCGAGCGGGCATCCACAACATGACACAGACTGAACAGTGAGCGAGCGGGCATCCATAACATGACACAGACTGAACAGTGAGCGAGCGGGCATCCATAACATGACAGACTGAATAGTGAGTGAGCGGGCATCCATAACATGACACAGACTGAACAGTGAGCGAGTGGGCATCCATAACATGACAGGTGAGAGGAAGGGACGTTTTTGACATGTATACGGTCTATCATCGTATATATTTATCATTCCCTGGGGCAGTCTTAAAGGTACAATCCATAAATTCGATTTCCATTGTAATCAATATGTTGTGTAGAGAGATTTTGCGGCCGTTGCAATCACAATACCAAAGAGGAGCAGGTGAATACATTTGAACAACATATTTCTTGTAGTTTTGTGTAGGTTGTGTTTTACACTATTTATGTTTGAACTTAATCTAGTTGCCACAGAGGACAAAGAACTAACAGATTGCACCTTTAAGATATTTCCATTTAGTCAACTAACTTTACCATTCTTACAGTACATAAAGGCCAACCTTTCTGCAATACAAACCACTGATATTATATATTTTATTAACTTCTAAAATACCAGTGGCTGAACTGATAAAAGGATTTCACAGAGTATATACACAATGTATTAAATAGCTTTCCAATGGGTTATGGACAAGCAAAGTTCAGATGGGTCATTCATGCCCATACATGCAAACAGGGGACAGATGTGCAAGAGCAAATAATAATAAATACAAGCATTGATAAAACGCATAACCTTACGTTTCTCTTTCAGCCTCAATTTAAGAGTTTCATCTGGGTGAGAGACTAAACAGGACACAGAATTACTGGCTGTAGTTTCTGAAGACTGTCCATCACGACTTCTGTCAAGACCGGATTATTTTAAATCATGTTGATTGGTTACAAAATATGACAAACTGCAATTTCAGACACATAATATATTATAAGCATAATAATAAGACATAATTGCACCAATTTGTAAGTCGCTCTGGATAAGAGCGTCTGCTAAATGATCTAAATGTAAATGTAACAAATGCTCATACATGCTTATAACCTGTTATAATGAATTATACCGGTTATCTTTGCTTAATGGAACTGGTACATGTGTCTTATAGGGTCAGTTTCCCAGACACAGATTAAGCCTAGTCCAAAGGAGAATCTCCATTGGGCATACTTTTTAGTCTAGAACTAGGCCTAATCTGTGTCCGGGCAACCGGCCCATTGCTTAAAGACACAGACAGAGAGAAAGTAAGCTACGGTCCATGATCTCACCTCTGTCTCCACTGTCCATGCCAACCGGTGTGATGCCTCTGAACCCAGTCTCGTCGTGTAACCTCCTCAGCTCTCCGTCCCTTCCCTCCAGATGCCTCCTCAGCATTGCCAGCTCCTCCTGCCCAACACACAACAGTTAGTCAGGGACATCATCCCAAAAAACACTGGTTGCATTCCAGGCCAACTACATTGCAGACGTACTGTAGCATTGCATCAACCAATGATTGTGTGCCACATCATCGACTGCACAGTCGAGCAAGAGAATGGTTGTGTTCCCCTGCTCAGACGTTGCATTGCATCAACCAATGGTTGCATGCCACGTCATCGACTGTGCCGTCGGGCACCAGATTGCTATAACATATGACGTGATTAGCTGATATAAAATACCTATCAAGGCGTTGTAAGTTCTGGCATGCGTCAGCAATGTAGTCAGCCAGGAACATGGCCACTGACTTAACACCCCCTCTCCCATATTTCAGGGTATGTTTAAATTTGTATGTATAAGTGCTTTGGCTTTATGCACCGGCACCAAAAAAGCACATCAATTTAACAATTTGGATAATTTGACTGTTTCCTAAATAAATAAAAAACAGAACAAAACACAAAACTAAAACAAAGCCAAAAGCGGTAAGGCCAAAAACAAAAACCCCATATCAGATGGCAACAAGCAGAAACCCTGGAAAGCCAACCTTCAGGGCCTGCAGTTTGTTTTCCTTCCTCTGTTTCTCATACTGCATCTGGCCCACTTTGATTTTCAGGCTAGAAAGCTTGGCCATTAGAGACTAGTAGCAGTGGAGAGAGAGGTAAGCCAAGGAAAAAGAGAGAGAAAAAGAGAGATGTCATGAGAAAAGACGCCAAAAGGGGGAGGAGGAGAAGGGGATACTCAAGAGTTGACAAATAGTCAAAGAAAGAAGAGAGGATATATGTGTAAAGAAGAAATAGGCTACAGGGAACAGTGTTCCTTCTGGAGGTAGATTACTTTTCGCAGAATTAAATCATTCATGCTTTCATATTGCAGTGTAGGTAGGCCTACCCCACGATAACTCACCTTAGTGGATTTCAGTTTCTTCTCATACTGTAGTCTTTCACTCTCCATCTCGGTCACTCTGTACCTCAGTTCATTAATCTCCAGAACCATGTCCTGATAGGGGAGAGAAAGACTGCATTACCCACAGTGCACTGGGGAAGGAGGGTAGCTGCATACAACACGCTTGTTCAAACAGAGAATTTCTCAGAAGTAAAAGGAGTCCTAGAACAGATGGCTTGATAAACATTTTACATTTACATTTTCGTCATTTAGCAGACGCTCTTATCTAGAGCGACTTACAAATTGGTGCATTCACCTTATGCCATATGGTAAGACTGCTTGTTCCTCTGGGATCATGCGCTACTTAACATACGTTAAAATTTGGCAATGGCTTTCATTTTATCAAAATAAATATGAAGGCAGCTTAGCTGTCGGCTTATTAGACTTATTACATTGGTGCGATTAGTGTGCAGCTTTGCTTTTTCTTATCAAAAGAAGCCTACACAGAGAATTTTCTCCCACATACTCCAAGGCCTACTACTGATCCCCATGGATACCATATAATGTGCTGGAGGGACTACTTTCCAGGGACAGTAGAAATCCCAGAGCAGGTTTAGAGATGTGAGAGGAAAGTGCCTCTGGTGGGGAGGGGAGCCTCTGATAGGCTGTGAAGCGGAACATCATGGACAGCGGGCCACTGTTCCAGTGGACTGGAAGAGACGGCTGTGCCACAACAACAATAACATGACGTGTTTCAGAGCCGTCAAAGAATCCACCACAGTTCATCTGGGTTCAAATACACCCCCCCCGACTCTGTTCTGCTTTGCTCCGAACTGCCGTGTAAACAAGATATGAACATCACTTTTTGGTCTTTGTTTGCAACCATACAACCAGAGGTAAAAAAATCTTCCCATTTCCCATTATCAAAACCCTAACGCCCGACATTTATATATAAGAGCAACTCATGCATATCTTCAAACAAAGAACAATTCCATTGCCTCTGGTCATGGTAACTGGCATTCCCTTGGAAGTGAACGGTCTCTTTTCTTGCCCCAACACACTGAAGCTTTGAACACATGATGACATAAGCCTCCCCTCCCCACACAGTTTTTGGGCAGCAAGAAAGTGTGTGTGTGTGTGTGTGTGTGTGGGTGAGTTAGAAAGAGAGCGAGGGAGAGAGAAAGACTGCAAGAAGAATCAGTCCTAAAGCAGTGGCCTCCCATTCCATACCTCATTGTCGCTGAAGTCAAAGTGCAGTCTGTCCTTCTCAAATGAGTTCAGCTTCAGGTTGGACACCTCAGCCATCAGGTCCTGTTTCTGAGTCTCTAGAGCTGTTCTGCAAAGGAGCTCCTGTGAAACCACAAAACACAGACTAAATATAGTCAACACACACACAGAGCTTGCCTTGCTTGCTTGGTTTTGCTGTTCAGCAGTGGTGACAATAATATAACTTCAAGAGAGCCCCATGTTCAGGGGCCGTTCTCCTCCAAACTGACCTGTTGTAGCATCTCCTCAGTGGCGTTCAGTTTCTCCCGGTGCTCATCCAAACACGTGTCTAAGTCCCTTATCTTCTCCCCCTGCGCCTCCACCTGGTCTGTCAACACACTCACCTGCACAGGAACACATGGGTAATACTAAGTTGCTCTTATACCTGTGTAGTAACACAGTAACTACAATAGTAACATTAACATAAACATTATTATGGTGCATGGTAATGGGGTTGATTGAGTTTTTACACCGAGTTCATTATAGCCTGGTCCCAGATCTGTGTCTTCTGTATAGCCAATTGCTATGGTCATTGTCATGGCAAACATTTTTGTAAGTTGACTATTGTAAGCACAAACAGTTCTGGGACCAAGCTAAGTTCATTACACTAAAAAGGTAACTTACTGACAACCAATTCTGTTGTAACGTCCTTAAATTAGCCATTTAGGCTGCCTGGGTAAGATGGCTACTAGCTATGACATGTTGTTGTGTACTGTACAGTACCTGAAGCACCAGGGATTCCTTGTCACCCTCCAGTCGAGACAGTCTCTCCTGGTAGAGATCACCACCCATGGAGATGTGGTGACCATTGGACTGCAGGCAGGCACGGAGAAGACAACATGAAGAGTCAGTGAGAGAGTGACACTTGGGATTGGTCTGTGAATGTTAATATACAGCCTCCAATAGTCTTTTGTGACAGACTGTTAAACATAATTGTTAAATGTTAATCAAGTTATGAGTAGCTGGACAACGTGGACACAAGATGCGGTTTTGGGTTCTGAGATGAAGCCTCTATTACATCGGTAAGGCTTTATGACATGCTCAGTGCTTAATGTATCAAGATCAAGTCAGATAAAGCTAAAGAGTGGTGTTGTGGCAGCATTGGTCACTGAGGTACTCTGGAGTATGTCCAAGGGTGAACAGGGCATATTTGAAGTGCTTTGAAAACGGACAATTATTGGACAACAATCGCACGAGAGTCTTTCGAGTGACAGCTAGTGTAATTGATATTGCATTTGCCCTTTCCTTTGCCTGCAACACCTTAAATGGTTGAAGAGACTAGTGTACACACAGAGAGAGTTACAGCAGAGAGTTACTGGCATTTCCCTGGCCCAGATCCTAGATCCCAGTGCTCTCTGCAGCAAGCAGTTGCTTCCCAACACATCAGTGGGTTGTTTCTCACAGCGGTATGTGACAACACCTGGGTTATCATCTCCCATTTCCAGGGGAATACTGACTACAGCATACTCTACAGCACAAAGACTCAACGTTTTTAACCAGTTGCCTTTGATAAGTGTGTGCTGGCTGGTTACTCTACAGCAAGATCCTCTAGCTGCCCAATGGAGCTTCAACCCCAACCAACATTGACCCTCACCAATATTTAGAGGGTTTCTATATTACTACTCTGCTGCTAAAACTGACCAGGAAATGTCTGTGATAATGTATACCCTCATACCATACTTATCCTTTAAATAGCAGTAGAGCTCTTCAAGGTATCATCCCAGATTCCCCACGAATGAGTCTCAGACATGTTTTTGTAGTGACATAGGAGGGAATAACAAGAGGGACACCACAACAACAGAGGTCCCCTTTGTGGATCTAACCTTATCACACCCTAAATCATCACACAGCAACAGCAGGCCTATATTTACACATGCCATGACATGTCTGGACAAACACCAGCCATAACACGACACCGCTGTGGAGACTAACGTGATGAGGGATGTCATCGGAGCTGAACATGAACTTCAACTGAACGCAACATTCGTCTCCCATGTCGGTTTACAGTACGTCTGACATTCTCTTAGTCCTCTCTTTTTTTAAATCTCGTCACAGATGTGTGTGTGTGTGTGTGTCTCACTAGAGGTGACAAAGGATTTAATACACATGGCTTTGAGAAGGTGCTAGATAAAGTCAATGTTATCACTAGCTAAACCAGGAAGACACTGCAGTCCCCACACTGTGATTCAGTACATTCAACCATTGAGATTTCCATCATTATCATCATGGGTAGACGCATCCGAAACGGCACCCTATTCCCTATATACTGCACTACTTTTGACTGGTCTCACCATCAGGTGTCCCTGCTGCAGCCAGTCCACCAGGCTGTCTGCGGTGGCGTCGGGGATCTGGCAGCGCAGGCCCTCCCTCTCCTCCGTGTCCATCAGCTCCAGCATGCCCCGGAGGTCCTCCAGCAGGTTCAGCGCCCGCAGGCTGCCCATGAAGGGAGAGGTGGGCGACTGGCAGTCAAACAGCCCGTTAGAGTAGTCCATAGTCTTGGAGCCTGAGGGGGGGAGGAGAAACACTCAATTATACAGTTTCTATAGTTTAAACCCTAAAAGAAGTTCAGTCATTTATAAGGTCTATTAAATGGTATAACTTAATCAAATGACTATGTTATATTTTAGCCCAAGAAAGAGGACATTCTGTGCAATGTATAACAGGTTCACACCAGCCCTGCATTTCTAGAGTAGAGTGAAAGTATCTCTGGGTTATACCATTACGTCATTGCTCCTCATTACAGGAATTAGCCGACACGACAAGTGAAGAAATCTAGCTACTTAACAAAGCCAAAATGCTTTACACACGAGACTCTACAGGGAAACACAGCTACAGGCCAGAGAAAGAGTGGAAGAGGGAGAGAGACATAGACAAAGAGAGAGAGAGACACACAGAGAGAGAGAGAAAGGAGAGAGAGAGGAGAAAGAGAGAGAGAGAGAAAGAAAGGAGAGAGAAGAGAGAGAGAGAGAGAGAGAGAGAGAGAGAGAGAGAGAGAGAGAGAGAGAGAGAGAGAGAGAGAGAGAGAGAGAGAGAGAGAGAGAGAGAGAGAGAAAAAAAGAGAAGAAAGAGAGAGCTTGAATGAGGACAGAAGAAAGGCTAGAATTACTTGGGAAACGTGGACCTGCAGACATTATGTGATCGGACAGTTAAACTGAAAGATCAGGCCTATAATTAACCCAATGCATAAAATAGGATTAGCCTTAAAGCCTGTCCATGCTGAATCTGTGCATTAACATTAATGTACTAATACAGCCATACTGAAGTACTGAGATGGGCTTGCAGTACTGAAATGGGCTTCACATTTATCCCCATCAGCTACAGTCCTAAATTTAACTGCCACATGCTGAATTCCTCTATCAAACCACAATGGGAAATGTCCACTTCCTGAAGAAAAACCTTTAGGGAATGGCCTGCCATAACAGTTCTTGCCTGAAAACATGACCATCAAAAACAGTTAACATTAGGGATAGAGACATGAGGGGATAGTACTTGCTCAAACTAGCCCGAGAGTGTGATCATCATATTGATCTGTTATTCGCAGTCAGTCTAAAAAATGTATTCCGCATCTTGAAGTATGTGTTGCGGAGCTACACTGGTTTGGCCAGGTATGACCAATAATCCTTCAGTGAGCATTGAGATAGGCATATTGTACTGTAACTTGTGTCTCAGCGGAGGAGTGCTGATCTAGGATCAGCTCTCCGCTCCCTGTCCATATAATCTTATTATTATGATCCAAAAGGCAAAACTGATCCCGAATCAGCACTCCTACTCGGAGACCCTTTGTTAACACAGTCCCAGATCTTACTATCCAACTCTAATAGTGTTGAGCCAGTGAATGTGATGCTGAGAGATCAGTCCTTGTTCTTCAGCATGCAAACGCAGCAGTGACAGAGACAGATATTCTTACCTGCTATTATCCCATCCATCTGTTCCAAGGCTGCTGCCAACATGTCACTGGCATCAGACATCATCTTCAACACTCAGTGGGCACCCTGGGAGAAAGAAAAGGGACAATGAACCATTAGGCTATATGTAATTAAGGGCTAGTAGTTTTCCCCTGACCCACTAGGGTTAGGCAATACATGCCACTTATTATAGACTTCACAGGAGGTTGGTGGCACCTTAATTGGGGAGAATGGGCTCGTGGTAAAGACTGGAGCGGAATCAGTGGAATGGTATCAAGTACATCAAACACATGGTTTCCATGTGTTTTATGCCATTTCATTTGCGCCATTCCGGCCATTTTTATGAGCCGTTCTCCCCTCAGCAGCCTCCACTGACTGACTTACTTTGCAGTGAGTGCATACATTTTTTGTATGTGATCCCTGTGGGAATGGAACCCATGACCCTGGCATTGCTAGTGCTATGCTCTTACCAACTGAGCCATGGTCTGGAAAAACTGCTGGCCATAGGTATAGGCTTGTAGGCCTACTTACAGCTTATTACTTTAAAAATGAAATCTCCACATCACTAGAGCAAGAGCTTTTAAGAAATGTGAAGTATTTTAAAGCAAAAAATAAATAAAAATGTAATGAAATGGAAACTAACTCTGTGGAGTCTTAAAACATAGGAAGTGAGGAGAGGAAATCCCTGCTAAGAAATATGCAACTCTTTCTTATCGTCAGTCTGCTCAGTGTTTCACAGGAAAATATCATTACTGGCTTGCTGACACAAAAGCCATTCTCAGAGATCGCTAAGAGCCAGAATGCGCAAGGACAAGGACAAAACAGAGCCATCTATGACTAAGAAGAATACTATAAGAACATAAAGGATTCCTCTTAGTCATACATGGCTGCTGACAACATAGCCTGTCATGAAAACACATGGTTGGGAAGAATAGTTTACACTAAGTAGACAATAACTGTTGAGGAGGCAGAAATATGTGAATGCAGACTTGCAGTTCATAATGTCATATCATGGCGGAGACGTGACAAATGGAGCATCATCGTCATCTTAGAGAAATGTCATTCATAGCTAGTCTGTATTTCACACTGTAAATGTCAGTCATCATAAATAAGCTACAGTACTACAGCGGCTCTGTGTCTATACAAGGGCAGAAAAACAAGGAAATGTAAATGATAATACAGAATAAAGAAATTACAATTAAGTCCATTCATGATTGTGGTGCATTCCTGACATGCCTATAAGTATACACATAATATAAGTGTAGGTCATACTGGACCAGAATCATGTTGTAAAAATAATATTGATGTTGTGCATAGGTAATGTCTCTCTTTTGGAAAATTTAAATAGCCAGACATCTTTGGATTCAGTAGTATCAAACATTTGAACAACTTTTGAGAAGCCATGTAACAAATCCAGAGCAGTCTTAAAACAAAGCCACAGAGCTGCTCCCGACTGTACACATCAATAAAGAGCTGTGTTGAGGAGCATGTCATTTCATAAGCTATCCACCCAGGAATTAGGCCCAGCCTGCTCAGAGGCAATGGGAATGGAAGCCCTTCGGTGCATGAAATGAGAAAATAGCCTCTCAAATAACACGTTTTAGTCCTATTATATTATAATTACATTTGGCTGTTAATCAGTTTGGCCAGAAAAAGAAGTGTAGTGTTGTGAGAAGTACTCCAGGTTGAATTAGACTGCACATAATAACCATCAGTACTAGAGTATTTTCTACGGGTGCGTAAGGAGAAGAAACAAAACGTGTACACAGTTTTGGCTGGAGCCATAAAAGACCCTAAGATAAGGAGGATTTAGAAAAACATGAAAGTGTCGTGAGGCAACATCAAAAGTACCACTTTTCTTTTCCCCCTACTCTGGCACTGTCTTTTTAAACATGCATACATTTGAACCTGAACCTGTTTTTAATACATGGCAGCCTGTGGGGTTCAAATTCACATCCAAACGAGATACACTGCTCAAAAAAATAAAGGGAACACTTAAACAACACAATGTAACTCCAAGTCAATCACACTTCTGTGAAATCAAACTGTCCACTTAGGAAGCAACACTGATTGACAATACATTTCACATGCTGTTGTACAAATGGAATAGACAACAGGTGGAAATTATAGGCAATTAGCAAGACACCCCCAATAAAGGACTGGTTTTGCAGGTGGTGACCACAGACCACTTCTCAGTTCCTATGCTTCCTGGCTGATGTTTTGGTCACTTTTGAATGCTGGCGGTGCTTTCACTCTAGTGGTAGCATGAGATGGAGTCTACAACCCACACAAGTGGCTCAGGTAGTGCAGCTCATCCAGGATGGCACATCAATGCGAGCTGTGGCAAGAAGGTTTGCTGTGTCTGTCAGCGTAGTGTCCAGAGCATGGAGGCGCTACCAGGAGACAGGCCAGTACATCAGGAGACGTGGAGGAGGCCGTAGGAGGTCAACATCCCAGCAGCAGATCTGCTACCTCCGCCGTTGTGCAAGGAGGAGCAGGAGGAGCACTGCCAGAGCCCTGCAAAATGACCTCCAGCAGGCCACAAATGTGCATGTGTCTGCTCAAACGGTCAGAAACAGACTCCATGAGGGTGGTATGAGGGCCCGACGTCCACAGGTGGGGGTTGTGCTTACAGCCCAACACCGTGCAGGACGTTTGGCATTTGCCAGAGAACACCAAGATTGGCAAATTCGCCACTGGCGCCCTGTGCTCTTCACAGATGAAAGCAGGTTCACACTGAGCACATGTGACAGACGTGACAGAGTCTGGAGATGCCGTGGAGAATGTTCTGCTGCCTGCAACATCCTCCAGCATGACCGGTTTGGCGGTGGGTCAGTCATGGTGTGGGGTGGCATTTCTTTGGGGGGCCGCACAGCCCTCCATGTGCTCGCCAGAGGTAGCCTGACTGCCATTAGGTACCGAGATGAGATCCTCAGACCCCTTGTGAGACCATATGCTGGTGCGGTTGGCCCTGGGTTCCTAATGCAAGACAATGCTAGATCTCATGTGGCTGGAGTGTGTCAGCAGTTCCTGCAAGAGGAAGGTGTTGATGCTATGGACTGGCCCGCCCGTTCCCCAGACCTGAATCCAATTGAGCACATCTGGGACATCATGTCTCGCTCCATCCACCAACACCACGTTGCACCACAGACTGTCCAGGAGTTGGCGGATGCTTTAGTCCAGGTCTGGGAGGAGATCCCTCAGGAGACCATGCGCCACCTCATCAGGAGCATGCCCAGGCGTTGTAGGGAGGTCATACAGGCACGTGGAGGCCACACACACTACTGAGCCTCATTTTGACTTGTTTTAAGGACATTACATCAAAGTTGGATCAGCCTGTAGTGTGGTTTTCCACTTTAATTTTGAGGGTGACTCCAAATCCAGACCTCCATGGGTTGATACATTTGATTTCCATTAATAATTTTTGTGTGATTTTGTTGTCAGCACATTCAACTATGTAAAGAAAAAAGTATTTAATAAGATTATTTCATTCATTCAGATCTAGGATGTGTTATTTTAGTGTTCCCTTTATTTTTTGAGCAGTGTATATGATCTCCTTCTTGTGTGTGAGGTGAAATGTTGGCCAATGTTCAGCCCTTCCTGTGTTCCCTAGGTTACCCTGTCAGGCGTGGGTCATTGGACACACATTTAGAATAATAACTAAGCCATTTACCCCAGTTATTGGCACAGTGAGTGAGACACCGCTATGGACACGGGACACTTTGTTTTGGAGACCAGCGAGGAAACATCTTCTGGACCCTAGTTTGGACAAAGGCCCAAAAAGCACAGCAGGGCCATTCTCTCAGTCTAGCTTCCTGATCAAAAGGCTGCACACACACACACACACAGAGACTCTTCATCACTGTAACAATACAGGCCTTTTCTATGCCAAAACGACATTCTCAGAGAATTGATGTTTTGAGCTACAACTGTACGAAACTGCTTTTACAATTTGAGTCCATAAGGTTCTGTCCGCTTCTTAGACAATCATCCATGTCGATTAAGGCAGCCCCCCGCACCGCTCTGATTCAGAGGTGTTGGGTTAAATGCGGAAGACACATTTCAGTTGAATGCATTGTGAGTAAGACTTTTAAGCAGGTCAACATTCACAAGGCCGCAGGGCCAGATGGATTACCAGGACATGTACTCCGAGCATGTGCTGACCAACTGGCAAGTGTTTTCATCGACATTTTCAACATGTCCCTGTCTGAGTCTGTAATACCAACATGTTTCAAGCAGACCACCATAGTCCCCGTGCCCAATGACACTAAGATAACCTTCCTAAATGACTACCAACCCGTAGCACTGACGTCTGTAGACATTAAGTGCTTTGAAAGGCTGGTCATGGCTCACATCAACACCATTATCCCAGAAACCCAAGACCCACTCCAATTTGCATACCGCCCCAACAGATCCACAGATGACGCAATCTCTATTGCACTCCACACTGCCCTTTCCCACCTGGACAAGAGGAACACCTACGTGAGAATGCTATTCATTGACTACAGCTCAGAGTTCAACACCATAGCGCCCTCAAAGCTCATCACTAAGCTAAGGATCCTGGGACTAAACATCTCCCTCTGCAACGGGATCCTGGACTTCCTGACGGGCCGCCCCCAGGTGGTAAGGGTAGGTAACAACACATCTGCCACGCTGATCCTCAACACGGGGGCCCCTCAGGGGTGCGTGCTCAGTCCCCTCCTGTACTCCCTGTTCACCCATGACTGCACGGCCAGGCACGACTCCAACACCATCATTAAGTTTGCCGACGACACAACAGTGGTAGGCCTGATCACCGACAACGATGAGACAGCCTATAGGGAGGACGTCAGAGACCTGGCCGTGTGGTGCCAGGATAACAACCTCTCCCTCAACGCGACCAAGACAAAAGGAGATGATTGTGGACTACAGGAAAAAAAAGAGGACTGAGCACGCCCCGATTCTCATCGACGGGGCTGTAGTGGAACAGGTTGAGCGCTTCAAGTTCCTTGGTGTCCACATCACCAACGAACTATCATGGTCCAAACACACCAAGACAGTCGTGAAGAGAACACGACAAAGCCTATTCCACCTCAGGAGACTGCAAAG